GGCCATAGCCCCCTATTGGCCCAATACGTTTTGCGTGAACTGCCGACGTAGCGGCGCACAGAGAACTCCGGAATTCCGAATGCCCAACCCAGGTACGCGGCGGCCTGCGCCACGTAGCGGCCCCCGACGGCCTAACTTGTCTGGACCATCTCCACCACGGAGGGATTTTCCCGTAACTCGTCGCCCACAGTGTCCCAGCCCCTTCGGACTGTGAGACCCTTGCGCGCGCACCCCTCGCCTAATTGCATTCGTACCCTTAAGACTCCCTCACTTCCCCAAAAATCCTTGGCACACCCCTTTTCGTACTTCCAGGCCCACATCCCACTCCGATCAGGAAGTCGCGCTGGGGGTGAGGTTGGGCGTCACAGTGTTTTAGGGATGGCACCACATTTTGTCTAGCTTGTGCCTTCGCTTTGTTGAAAATTTTTTTCGTCATCATGCCTTCCAATGCATCTTTGTTAATTTTTGGTTGAATCCTCCATTTCTGAGTTTGTGCGTCAAGGTGGTCTTGTAGTTGGGCTCTTGCCCGTTGGAGCGCCTCATGCGTGGGCAGGTCCAATGGGTTATCCATGAGGTGTTGATCCCACTCCTCCAGTTAAAAGTAGCAGGCAGTCGATGACAACCTTGCGTTTCTGTGCCAGTTTAATAGAGAGTTTTTCAACTCTCTCTCTGAGAGTCTGAGGTACGTGATACCATCGTTAAACCATTTAACTATGGACCCGTCATCCGACTTAGTGGTGGTCTAGTAGCTCTAGACGTCTCTAACCAGTTTAAATTCCCCAAACACAGTTTGTCGAGGAGGGAAGAGTTGAATCTGAAGAAATCGGGGCCTCTAGCGATATGGGTGTGGAATGATAGGCCAATAGGAATCATGCAGTGATCGAATGACCTACACGGGGAGAATGGACGAATGTCAGCAATTATTAGCAGGCCCGAGACGTCCTCCGAGATGAAGTCGAGGTCAATGCGTGAGTTAGATATACCCACATCCCCTCTTGAGCGAACGCATTTATATGCACGCTTGGTCGAACGAAGGTACTTGTAAGAGTCCAACAGTCCTAGGTTTGTGATCATGTGACTCAGTTCCAAGCTATCCTGGCCTCTTTCTCTTGGATTTCCCTGGGAGGGGACTTGTTGGGATGCAGATCGCCTATCTAAGTTGGGGTCCAGTGTGGTATTAAAATCTCCCATCATGATAATGGGAACATTGGTTAGCAAATATGAATAAGATTGTTAAAGAGGCGTACCCTATCAGCCGGGTCATTGGGTGCATACAAGCAGACCAGGCAAAATTCCTTTGTTGTGAAGGTTGCACACAACCATACCCATCTGTCATCGACATGATCCCATCCAGCCTGCAACGCTACCAGTCTGGATGAAGGGGGTAGCCAAATGACCACCCCTGTTGAGGCTGCAAATTTGGTGGGGGCAGCATAAGATGTGTGCGGCCAAATTTGGAGCGTGTGGGCTTGGTGTGTTGGGGAGTTTGTGAGATGTGTTTCTTGAACTGCTATGACATCAGGCCATTTGCCTCTCATGTCTCTCGTTATGAGGTTCCATAGCGCCACTATTTTCTGGTAATTCGTCTGTGAAAGGCCATTGACGTTTATCGATCAGATATCCAAGTCGGCCTCCCCAAGTTTTTGCGCCCATGCCGGCTGACATCGTCGTGGCGGGGGGGGGGCGCAGAGGGTTGGGGCAGACAGGGTCTGCTCCATAGTGTGGATGATCATCTCCAACCTCGACAGGAGGCGGATCCCCCCCCCACATGTCCTAGATACCGAAGTATCTATGCATTTTGTGATTGTTGTGACATTTTCGTTATTGTCGTGTCTAATAATTTATAGCCACCCTTGCTGAGAGGCTGGCTATAAATGGAGGGTAATCCCATCTTCTGCTCATGTCCAATGTCTCATCTTCCAGCAGACATTGAAGGAAAAGTACTTGGTGTTCCGCTGACCACGTATTGTTTGTGCGCATTCGTGAGACGGGGGTGTCCAACAGATCCTGCTGGGATAGCCAGTTAAACTGGCCATCCTGTACTTCTGGCTGTTGGTTCATCCTGAAGAGAACAAGGATGGGGGTGGTGTTTTTGGGGAAAGGGAGGCCTTGTGGGAAGACTGTTCTAATGGCCCCTTGGTCCCCTTGTTGAATTATATGATTCCTTAGCATATGGAGGGTAAGCCTTTGAGGGTTGGTCCCTTTCCAACCCTGTAGCGTCAAGCCCGTAGGGGCGAC